GCCAAAACAAACAAGCAAATAAACAAATAAACAACATCGTTACATCACACTCGTGCTTAGCAGTGACGACAGGGCCAAAACAAACAAACAAATAAACAAACAAACAACATCGTTGCATCACAATCGTGTTTAACAGTCACGACAGGGCCAAAACAAACAAGCAAATAAACAAATAAACAACATCGTTACATCACACTCGTGCTTAGCAGTGACGACAGGGCCAAAACAAACAAACAAATAAACAAACAAACAACATTGTTACATCACAATCATGTTTAACAGTGATGACAGGGCCAAAACAAACAAATAAACAAACAAACAACATTGTTACATCACAATCGTGTTTAACAGTCACGACAGGGCCAAAACAAACAAGCAAATAAACAAATAAACAACATCGTTACATCACACTCGTGCTTAGCAGTGACGACAGGGCCAAAACAAACAAACAAATAAACAAACAAACAACATCGTTACATCACACTCGTGCTTAGCAGTGACGACAGGGCCAAAACAAACAAACAAATAAACAAACAACATCTTTACATCACACTCGTGCTTAGCAGTGACGACAGGGCCAACAAACAAACAAATAAACAAACACAAGAGCTCAAAACATTTTGATGTTTAGTATGAACTTTAGTTGCCTAACCCGACTGTGTGTGTGTGTGTGTGTGTGTTTCCTCAGATGTATCAGAACCTGAGCGGCGTGAGGAACATGGATGTGTATAAGAAGCAGGAGATCCCGCAGCGCTTCCACTACAGGAGCGGGCGGTTCGTGTCGCCGCTGACGCTCGTGGCCGAGCCCGGCTGGTTCATCACCGAGGTCAGAGGCGTCCTTCTGTCCACAACGGCCTTGTTGTAGGATTTCACCAAATGGAGATGTAGATATCTATGCTACAGTGACACTATATAGTGAAGTGACTCAACCAAAACTACAAACTTACTTGTGCTTATCTGCGCTAACTTTCCCCATCCGCTCCTGCAGGATCTGGGTTTCCGTGTAACTGTTCCTCTTCACATGTCACTCAAAGACGACAGAATGTTTTAATTTAGTTTTTGGTCAATTAAATGAATGTACTATATTTGAGTTTGATATATTTTTTTAATACTAAATTATATTTTCGCTGTATTTATAATATATTTATTTATTTTTGAGTGTAGACCTGAATATTAAATGTCCAACTTAAACTGTGGTGAATCTTAAACGCTTTAGAGCGACAGACTGAAGTTTAATTCCTGATTTCACGCCAGATTATTCCTGAAGTGAAAAAAGTTTTAAAAAGTGAACTTAAAAAAAATTGTTATTATAAAAATTGTTGTTATTGTTATAAAAAAATCCATAAAAATACGATTACATTTTTAAATATGAAATATATATTTTCAAAAGCACGTTTTCCTCTAAAACTGCACGAAAATCCAAGCTAAGCACATGTGAGCTGATCTCTCAGTAAACGAGCGTTCAGTGCGAGTGTGTTCGGCTGCAGTACCGAACGCTTCCACTAGAGGAAACTCTATATTCGTTTCTAATGCGAGGACTATTTTACAGGACCATGAGTTTTTGTGTGTTCACACAGGAAGTGTCAAACCCTTTGCCAAGTTTTGCACCAATCCGATAAAGAAAAACATTTTTCAGTCCGAGAGGAGAACACCATATGTTGCTTTTGTACAATTCGACCTCTGACAGGAAAGTCTTCGGTCATGAATGAGTCAGTCTTGCACATAAACCCAGAAACAACAGTCTTCCTCTTGTGTGCTTGCCTGAAATAACTTTGATAATGTGTCATTCCATCACTACCAAAACATCAACGCCCCTCCATGACCCCGAGCTGGATAAGAGAGAACACACACACCCACACACTGATTTCTGCCCGTCTCTGCAGAGTAAAGCCAAACTGCCCTTCTGGAAGAACGGCTCGACAGAAGCGGAGGGATGGCAGCACGGGTGGCACGGGTACGACAACCAGTTTGTGGACATGAGGGGATTCTTTCTGGCACAAGGACCAGGTGAAGTTCATAAATAATAAATAATACTGTATAAAATACAAAAAAAAAAAATCAATAGATGGAATAATGCAATTAAATTAAAATAATTAAAATATAAAAGTATTTATTAAAAAATAGTGCTGTTATGTGTGTGAGTGTGTTTGTGTGCGTCTATTATATAAACAAACATTTATGCGATTAATAGTGATTAATCAATTTGAAAGCACTATTTTTTATATTTTATTTTAAATAAATACTTTTATATTTTACTTATTTTAATTAAATTGTATTATTGCATTTATTTTATTCACATAAAAGTTTGTTTAGCACAAACCTTTATGTTAGATGCAATTAATCGTTTTGATGGCACTAAAAAAGATTATTTTTATTGTAATTTTTTTTACTACCATTCATTTTTTTTTTGGAAGAAATTAATAATTTTATTCAGCAAGGATGCATTAAACTGATCAAAAGTGATATCAATAATATTGTTAATGGTAAAAAAAAGTATTATGAAACTGTTATTTATGTATTTAATTAAAGTATAAAATAATTCAAATATTTTAAATACAACTAAAATATTTAATTTAAAATATATATAAAAAATACATATTTACCATTTATTTTAACCTATTTTTAAATATTTTTTTATAATTTAACCATGAAAATGTTTACCTTTTTTTGGAGGAAATTAACTTTTATTCAGCAAGGATGCATTAAATTGATCAAAAGTGACAGGTAAGACGTTAATAATGTTACAAAAGAGTCTATTTCAGATCAATTTCGGACTTTTGATTCATCAAAGAATCTGTGTCACGGTTTCCACAGAAATATGCATCCGCACAACTGTGATAATAATCATAAATCATCATATTAGAGTGATTTCTGACAGATCATGGGACACTGAAGACTGAAATGATGCTGAAAATTTACAGGAATAAATTACACTTTAATATATATTCACATATAATACAGTTGATTTAGATTATAATAATATTTCACAATTTTACTGCGTTTTTGATCAAATAAAAGCAGCCCTGGTGAGCAGAAGAGACATTTAAATGTCAGCGTGTATTTTTATATTTGAATAATTTTTATATTTTTTGCATAATTGTTATATAAATGAAACAATTTTATCATTATGATGTTTCTCCTTCTCTCCAGACTTCAAGAGGAACTTCCGCGCCGGCCCCATGCGAACAGTGGATGTGTATAATGTGTTGTGTAAGACGCTGGGCATCGAAGCGCAGCCGAACAACGGCTCCTGGTCTCGGGTCGAGTGTATGATGAAGAGCTCGGCTTCTGCCGTTCGAGTCGCTTCCACCTCCGTATGCCTGATGACGATGATGACGATGATGATGCACTAGAATGTCTGGAAACACATCATCAGATACAGGAACACTGATTTTATGCCTTAGTGTGCACCATAGGCTCAGATAAATGCCAAGAAAGCCCACTTTTGCTGCACTGCCTCTATTTTTGAGTTGAAGAAATTATGTTGTTGGATAAACCAATTTGCACGTTTTCACTGACACTTGACCTGAGGTCAAAGATTTATATTTTTAGTCAAATATGAACTTTTATTATGTAATTTCATTCATTTTCTCCACCTGTTGTTTCTGTCTTTACACATTTATTTTATTTTTATTTTATTTTATGATGACTGTAAAATGACTAGTGTGTCCTCTCTGTCAAGATGTGTGCTGTTTTGAATGTAAGGCGTTGTATTGCTATTATTTGTTTAATTTCTATAGAATTATAACATTATATAAAGATTAGCCATTTTCCTTTAGTACAGGTTTTGACTTTGTACTCATTTATTTCACAATAAAATATTTTCTCAAGACGCAAAGTTTTTTGTTATTTTATTACTACATTTGTTCTTTCACATTCTACTCAGTATGATGTTTTTATTGTGATTTACTCGGGGACTCTTATTCTGTATTATGTGCTTTGAGCTCTCTCGCCCCCTGCCGGGCTGTGTGAACTTCAACGAGCACACGGTTCAATGTCACTCATTTCACATAATATTTTCAACTTTTTTTTCACCTCTTTGCTACTTTATTTATTTATTAATTTTCGCGCTCTTTAAAGCAAGATGGATTCTAATTGGCTGACAATGTTTATCGTTCATCAGCGGGAAAAAATCGTTATGATTCCAGTGGGTATCATTTCTCTGAGCCGTTATCGTTACAGTTGTGATTTAGACTCTGCTATTCTTTTATATTTAAGACTATTTTAGAGCAATATATTTTTAGACAGAAATTATTTTAACAAAAATTTGATGCGTTATTTATATGAATTATCTTAAATGTTGTACAGTAGACTTGTTTCCTATCAGTTGGTGATGAATACAGTTCAAGATGGACAGAAGGTGGCGCAAAATACCTTTTATTTAAATCTTTAGCAGACATAGTGTGACGTGAGTTGAGTAGGCTAATATTAATTAACAGCACTTATGGTTTGGTTTATTTGTATAATGCAATTATGCATAATTTACCTATAATAATTATAATAATAATTAAGCATTTTTTTAGTAAACACAGTTTTCTTTTCAGATTTATACCATTGTATTGAAATTAATCTTTTTTTCGTGTATTAAAATAATCATTTTAAAGATTTTATTATTAGTATATTTTTAATTTTATGTATCGCTGTCTCCGCAATAAACAGACACAAAGTATGTCTGGGTCATGGATTTATACAAATGATGTCAGTTTAAGACATTTCAGTGTTGTTTGGGTCCATCGTGTGTAAT